ATTTGTTTTTGAAGTGGTGGCTGGACTAAATCCGTTTTATGCAAAAGTACATATAACTGATTTGAAGTGAAATTTTATGCTTTTTATTAAATTGACACGCACTACTTTTAGGCAAGTGAACCTAATCGATTATGCAGTATAAGATGAGTAAGATATCGTTCCCTCGAGGACTATCCTACACTACCAAGACCCTATTAATCTAACCTAAGTTGAATTAACCAATTAATGGGGAAAATTAAGCTATTTAAAAGAAAACTAAGTCGACTAAAGAAAATTAAACTAAAGAATTTTCTAAGTTAAAGAAACTATGAATGAGAAAGAACTAGGGTTTGGATTTCATTTAATTCTAAATTATGCAACTATTTCATTAATTTAATTCAAGTTCAAATAATAGTGTTATTGCATGAGATGACGGATTTTCCTAAATTAATTAACCAGCTTTCTCAAGTGAAGCTAATCCTTCATTTGTTTGCTAAATTAATCATATCTCTATGTAATTTTAAACAAACTAATGAGCATTAAATTCTATGAAAATCTCTAGCTTAAGAAGGGGGAGCTACTAACTCTCTTCTCTTCCTCCACTATCACATGTGAGCTAATTACCTCTCGGTCTCATAGTCTAACACACGGTTTATATTATTATTGGTCTAATTTACACAATTCTTTCTCAAGTTCATGTATAAATCACTAAATCAATTGAAAGGTGATCAAGCTCTCAATGCATTAAGTTCAATAATATAAACTCGTCATGCAAATAACCAATAAATCTTGAATTAAACTAACAAAAACAGTCACATACTTCAAAAATTAAAATCCACCCATCCCTAGTTCAAAGAAACCTAGCCACACATGTTTATGTTCTCAACAGCCATGAAAAATAAATCCCAACAAAAAATCATAATAAAAAGAAATCAAAAACAACAAAACCCAAACGGAGAATTGCAGTTTGCCGAATGATGTGCTGTGGTCGGGATCTCCCAAGAAGGCTGGGCGGCAGCGTGGCTGGGCGGAGAAGAGCAAGGCTGGGCGGCGGCTGTTCTCTTCTGCTGCTGGTGAACAACAGAGGCGGGTGCTGGGATTTTGGGCGGCTGGGTGCTTTTGACCTTGCGCAGAACAACTTCTCTCGCGTAGAACAACTCTCTTGCGTCTGTGTATCTCCTCACTCTTTCTCGTATGTGTGGCTCTATATATATCTCCCAGAAATTAGAATCCCCTTAACCCTAGCAGACATGGGAATTGGGCTTTGGTTTGGGCCTGAACTGCAGTTGGCCCACTCTTAGAAAAAAACATAGCCCGTCTCTTTATTTCTGCACTGTCTATAGTTAAAACCGTCACTTTCAACTTAAATTCTGTATTGATACAGAAGGAATTGGGTTGAGCTCATAAAACATCAATTGTAGCTCTGCTTCT